ACCACCTCAGTTGGCCGGTATTGTGATCAGGGTGCATGGACCGATCTGATCTGTTCCATGAACAAGACACCACCACCTCAGTTGGCTGGTATTGTGATCAGGGTGCCTGGACCGATCTGATCTGCTCCATGGACAAGACACCACCACCTCAGTTGGCTGGTATTGTGATCAGGGTGCCTGGACCGATCTGATCTGCTCCATGGACAAGACACCACCACCACCTCAGTTGGCCGGTATTGTGATCAGGGTGTATGGACCGATCTGATCTGCTCCATGGACAAGACACCACCACCACCTCAGTTGGCCGGTATTGTGATCAGGGTATATGGACCGATCTGATCTGCTCCATGGACAAGACACCACCACCACCTCAGTTGGCCGGTATTGTGATCAGGGTGCATGGACCGATCTGATCTGCTCCATGGACAAGACACCACCACCACCTCAGTTGGCCGGTATTGTGATCAGGGTGTATTGACCGATCTGATCTGCTCAATGGACAAGACACCACCACCACCTCAGTTGGCCGGTATTGTGATCAGGGTGTATGGACCGTTCTGATCTGCTCCATGGACAAGACACCACCACCACCTCAGTTGGCCGGTATTGTGATCAGGGTGCATGGACTGATCTGATCTGCTCCATGGACAAGACACCACCACCACCTCAGTTGGCTGGTATTGTGATCAGGGTGCATGGACTGATCTGATCTGCTCCATGGACAAGACACCACCACCACCTCAGTTGGCCGGTATTGTGATCAGGGTGCATGGACAAGACACCACCACCACCACTCTAAGAGAGCTTGCAGCCCTCTATATGGCAGACATCAATCCAGAAGAGGACATCCATACGGCACCTCAGTTGGCCGGTATTGTGATCAGGGTGCATGGACCGATCTGATCTGCTCCATGTACAAGACACCACCACCACCACTCTAAGAGAGCTTGCAGCCCTCTATATGGCAGACATCAATCCAGAAAAGGACAAGGCACCTCAGTTGGCCGGTATTATGATCAGGGTGCATGGACCGATCTGTTCTGCTCCATGGACAAGACACCACCACCACTCTAAGAGAGCTTGCAGCCCTCTATATAGCAGACATCAATCCAGAATCCATACGACACCTCAGTTGGCCGGTATTGTGATCAGGGTGTATGGACCGATCTGATCTGCTCCATGGACAAGACACCACCACCTCAGTTGGCCGGTATTGTGATCAGGGTGTATGGACCGATCTGATCTGCTCCATGGACAAGACACCACCACCTCAGTTGGCCGGTATTGTGATCAGGGTGTATGGACCGATCTGATCTGCTCCATGGACAAGACACCACCACCACCTCAGTTGGCCCGGTATTGTGATCAGGGTACATGGACCGACTGCCCCATGAACAAGACACCACCACATCTCCCCATCCACTACAGAAGAACAAGTCAGGGAGAAGATCTTCTTTATATAAGAGGATGATTGTACAAGTTTTCGTGCAAGACATCCTTCTACTTGTACATAATAACACGAGTAGCAAACGGTTCATATACAATTCAAGACATTTTTTTTGTACACGTAGAAGGAAGTCTTTCCCGAAAGCTTGTATAAGATCGTCCTCTTTTATAAAAAAATCTTTCCTCTCCGACTTGTGTTTGTTCATTTATTGACTCTTTTTTCTTATTCTTTTTAAATTATCCCTAGTACACGTGGTACAGGCCATGATAATCATGGTGGGTAGAAGTTGGCGACTGCTTTTACTGTAAATACACCACATGTCTACACATGTGAAAAGCAGTTCAATTTTTGCACTTACAAGTATGCCCGAGTCTCGTGTTCTCATTCTAGAAGACACGGGTCGGTGACAATCTACAACAGGTAGGTTCTCTAAATTTTATGGAAGGGTTCACCACTGATGAGCTAGGCACTCCCACTAGTTTATCATCGTAATAATAAAATAATAATAATAAACAATAGGAAGTTGTTTTATTTAAATAAAAAATGGATAGTTATCTCTAGAAAGAAAGGTCACCTCTCCCGTCAAAAATAAACCTTAAAACTATACCGCATCTAGTAACTGTTTCCACAAACTAGCGAACTCGGGTCGGTGACAAAGCCACAACACCAGTTTTGGTAAATTCCGAACGTCCATCTGAAGACCGTCATTTCGAGCTAATGACCTTCGTCAATCCAGGTCAGAACTTTGATTTCATAAGATTCATTAATGAATTCATGATATCATCAGAATTTGACAAAGAAATGTTTAGCTGGTAAAACGACTAGGCTAACTCTGTGGCTAAAACATAAATGGAACTTTGCCGGGAGGAATTTGATCGACAAACTATTACCGACCCGAGTCTGCCAGGCTGAAGAGACTGTCAATAGATGGCGCAGTAGTTTTGACGTCTATTTTGAAGGGAGAGGTTACTTGTATAGATCAATATCCTACCGGCAGAAGATCTAATGGCGGTGAAAGGATCCAGCAGTCGAAGAAGACCAGGGGGAGATACGCGAAGTTTATTCTGGGATCCCGAGGGATAAAATTTCTCCCATCTGACTCAGGCGGCCTGTCACTATTCTGGTTTGTTTGGGGAGTATGCAAATTTGGAATAGAACGGTTCTTTGATCGACAAGAGATGTTTGATACGTATGCAAATCTGGAATAGAACGGGACTTAGGGGTGTTTTTTTTTTATCGAAAAAAATATTTTTGATACCTATGCAAATTTGGAATAAGTATATATAGACACAATGCGGCATTTACACATGAAAATTTGGAAAAAAAGTTGTTTATTTGAAACCAATGGAAAGGAGTTAGTAGCGCATATGCAAATTCGGTATATGTACATATGCAAACTTGGAATAGTTACATATGCACATTTGTGGGCTATTTACATATGCTCACTTAGACAAATGTCATTTATTTGCTCCAAAAGACCGAATAATTTGTTTTACTTATGTAAATTTGAAAAAGATATATATGAAAATTTAGAATAAGTGAATTGGGAAGATGTACATGTAAATTTGGAAGAGGTACATATGCAAATTTGTCCTAAAATCGTTTCTTTGACGATCAATAGAATAGTTTGTAGCATATATAGAAATGCGAAATACGTAACTATGCAAATTTAGAATAGGTATATATGCAACTAAGTATATTTTTGTGCTACTAATCTATGAGAAAAATCGTAGCGTTTAGTAAAATTTGAGAAAATCTGACAACGGATCTGTAGTCATTTCATTGCTCTTTTATACTGTTAGACATCAATTCTTTAGTGTGCATATGCAAATTAAAATATAGAAAATGTCATTCAGGAGATCTTTCGAATCTAACAACTGAGACACATCTCAGTGGGAGGATATATGTAGATATGTGGTACAGTAAAAGCCAACTAGACTTGCGGGACTCCACAGGTCGAACTGTTGCGTTGTTGGCGTGTGCTTCGTCTGTTTGGTCAGCAGCGTGTCATAAATCTTAAAGACAGATGACAGCCGCGACATCAGCTGTCCATAATCACAACAATCGACGGTCCCATTTCATCCGCGGGTCACGTTTTGGCGGCCTGTGCAAACTGGAGCCACCACTGATGAATAACTCATGTACTCAACACGTGTGTTGGACGACTCTTGCGTGTGAAGGGTGATATGTAATTAAACGGAAGGATTTCTAGCATATATGCAAATTTGGAAGAAGCACATGTACATATTTGAAATAGCTACATATGCAAATATCTCCAGAAACTTGTATTATTTTAATAATTTATTATAAAGGACTGCGGCGTATGATTATAAAACAACACTTAAAGTTTCACCGCATAAGTTTCTTTTCTGTGAAAAATCAATATTTATTTCAAAGTGAAATATTTACTATTTCTAACTTTTTTGGATGAAGTATGAAAGGGTGAAAATATGAAGAGTAATGGCGAACGGAAAAATAAAAGTGTCCAGGGGCGGGAATCGAACCCACAGCCTTCCGCTTACCGGGCAGATGCTTTTATTTTTCCGTTCGCCATTACTCTTCATATTTTCACCCTTTCATACTTCATCCAAAAAAGTTAGAAATAGTAAATATTTCTCTTTGAAATAAATATTGATTTTTCACAGAAAATAAACTTATGCGGTGAAACTTTAAGTGTTGTTTTATTTTAATAATGCCACGTAGAAAATTAAGAAAGACAAACTTCAAGATGACACAGTAATTTATTTAAGACACAAACTAAAATTTATGAAATACAAGAAAAGCAATAAGGGAAGTATACAGAGTAAGTAGCACAATTATATATTTAATATATAAAAATTAACAATCTGTTCATAAAATATAAAAAATTCGCTTTAATATCACCAACTATTTATCTCTACAGACCTTACTGTAATGACAAAAGTTACTGAATGAGAGGGCTTGGCTCATCAGTAGTGAACCCTCAAATTAATTACCATATGTAAATTTGGGCCAATATCTTTGTTTTCTTGCCATTGATCGACAGAACATGTGGATTGGTGTCTTGTGTCACACATACAATCAGCCATGTGTCACATGCAGTGTAGGGAATGTGAAGTCAGCTCTACCTCCCGCCGCCCAGATATCCAATAATGTACGCAACAGTTCTCAATCTTATCTTGAAACTTATCTTACAGTGAATCATCACAACTTATCAAATTATTCCAAGATATGAGCTCAACCGTTTAACAAATAATCTTGGCGATCTTATCTTTTAGATCATTTATAATTCTATGAAATGAGAATTATTTCGATATAATATTATATACATAGGTTAAGGAATGTAATAGAATTGTTTATAATCTAAAAATCTCTCGTAGCTATGTTCAAAAAAATTTAATTTAAATAAAATAGTTTCAATCTCAATCGCCCGTTGGCGATCTTCCATCAAACTCTGCAGCGGTGACGCCATGTACATATTTATTGTACACTAGCCGAATGACCCGGGCAACGCCCGTGTTTTACCCGATTGAATGTTTTGATTCAAATACTATTTGTTACAATTATAAATTGTGGTCATGTGGCCTAGTGGTCATGGCATCTGCCCGGTAAGCGGAAGGTCGTGGGTTCGGTTCCCATCCCTTGACACTTTTTTTATTTTATCCATTCTGACCAAAATCTATCCGTGAACTTCACACAGTGAACTTCAAACAGACAGAATAAGGCAATTATATAAGTAGATAGCATATATTTTATGGTATTTTTTTATTTTCCTTCTTTTTTTTATATATTATTTTTTCATATCTACTTGAATAGTGCGGACTGTGCACTTTTGCCTATATTTTGACGGGATGTCAATAAAACTATGTTATTTGTTCCCCAAAAAGAGAGGGGAGATGAGGGAAGAACGTGACTTACTGTCTGGACTCTGTCGTTGTCTCCTGGACTTTACATAACTGTATATAGTTTACTCTTTTATTTTATCCCTCTTTTTATAATTATTATATAATACCACCATTGACTTGTGTATGATGTCAATGAAATATTTTTAAATCTCAAAAAAATTCTCTCTAAAA